CAAAGATGGGTTAAAGTGGATATCAAGAACGACCAAAATTTTTTTAAAATCATCATTTTTGGATAGGATGCATCAAAACTCATCAATAGGGACTAAAATATTTTAAAAATATCCCTAATTTTAAAGTTTACAGTCGGCAGAAAAGGTCTCGATTATCGTATTTCAGTCATTCGAAGACAATTTTTTGATTATCAACATTTCGCCAATGGCTCAACCAAATTTTTTGAAAATTTAGAGCTCAACATAAAAAGACATGGCGCATCTTTTGACAATCTCAGATCTTTGTTCTGGTTGCATATTTTCAAGGGGCAGAAAAATTTAATTTTTGGCCTTTTGCCAGGGTCAATGAACTTTGAATTACAAATTTTGTTACCACTGATAAAAGATACCTTAGTTCATTAGCTTCAACCTCCCGCCGAGAAAAGTAAAAAATCTTCACCCGTTTTAATGTGACAGCAGTTTTAGTAAACCCTTCAGTATCTCCGGCGGCCATATTGAAATTTGACAAATATGAAATTTTTTTATTACTTGGGTATTTTAGGAACCAAAATACGAACTATCATGAAATTTATATGTAGAAATCAATTAATTCCAAGCGCTTAAAAATTAGCTTATCTTTCTCGGAAACGAGTAAAATGCAAAAAACCACGTTTTTTGACCTTCAATTAAACTTTTCTCAAAAATTTACGCGGTGACCCCCAATTTTCTTGTGCCAAATCTGTAGCCTGGTTATTAAGGAACATGATGGTGGGTCACAAACTTTTGGCAAAGTTATTTTCATGTACTTCAATTACAGTTAAACGATTTTTGTGAAAATTTTACATACGCGAGCCATGTTATCTTCAAATGCGATTTTCTCAAAAATTTATGGGGTGACCCCCAATTTTCTTGTTATCAAAATGATCCATAAGGTCCATACTAACAGTTCTAAATAATGATTTTGCGATCCTAAGCTGTTGATATCCACTTTAAAATTACTCTTCATTAATGTGAGAGAGGCGCTGTTTAATTAATTTTTGGTGTGGCGCCGAGATGAGAACAAGATTGTTCCAAGAAATATGAATTTAAGATGCTCAGGATCAAAGGGAACAAAAGTGCCCTTTGTTGCAATAGAGAATTTAATAAAATTATGTGTAAATAAGTAGATTTTAAATATTATTTTATGCTTTTTCATACTGAAAATAAATAAATAATAATAATTTTTATCCTCATTAAACTCACGACAGAAGCATAAATACTTAAAATAGGCAAAACATAATTATTCAAATCCTGTGCCAAATATGAGAAATTATATTTTTTTATTTATAAATAAAATTCAATCAATGTAATTATTATTTCATTGTGAATTTTAGAAAAAAATATACTGTTTTTCTTTTAAATTTGATTAGATTTTTTATGAATGAATATTTTGACAGAAAAAATATGTTTTCTTAAAACTATAGATTAATTGTTTCATCTTTATTTTCTAATTCAATGAAGAAATGAACATTATAATTACCGATGACGTATGAGTATCCGTCGAGGGTGAGCATGCACTTGGCCACCGGTTGGCCCTTGACGGCGGCCGCGGCCACGGCGGCGGCGGCGGCCGCCCCCGACGAGATGGGCCCCGCCGAGCTGCGGCGCTCGCGGAGGCGGCCGAGGTCCACGCGGGGCTGGAAGGCGGGCTCTTGGCCCATTTCACGGCCACCTCATGCCACTGCTGTTCCAAAATCCTTCAGTCCGCACCACAAAAACCACCACGAGTCAATAAAAAAATTTGGAGAGTTCGACAAGCCCGGAGATGCCGACAAAGTCCACGACACACTTAATTTCGGCTTAAAGTCCCGTGATCGCCCTCGGAAGTCACTGAACTTGTTGTGCTCTGAGAAGAGAGGCGCGCGCTCTGCCGACTGCAGAGTCCTCGGACCGACTGAGCGAGTTCGGCGGCGCCGAGTGCAGCAGGAGAAGCTGCGATTGTGTCCCCACCAGCCAGCAGCACGCGGCGGCCGCTCAGGGTGGAAGTGGGGGTGTTGTCTTTCCATCATCATCAGCAACACTTCCGACCCCGTCGCCTTCCAATCCATCAGGCTAATTTGCCCTGAAAGGGTCTCTCTTTTCTCCTCACGCAGATTTATTTACTCTAATAAGACGAGAGAGGAGCTTTTTGCTCGTTAGTTGAATTAATTTATTTTAATTTGTCTTTTTTCTTCGAATTCTCATATTTAACGGAGATAATGGAGTTTATTCAAAATGAAGCGCAAAAAAAGTTGGACAATTTAAATTAAAGTTATTAATCGAACTGCAGATGAAAGTTTCTTACTTTTGTAAAATTTTATGTTTTGTCAAGCAAATTAGTCTCACAACGAGAAGATTTCAAATTGGGTAGAAATTATTTAATTTTAATGGTTATTTTACAATTTAAAAATTTAAAAATATAATTTCCGTATTTAAGTGTTATTTTAAAGCGAAAATATGGTTATTCGTTGATATCTCTAAGATCAGATTTTACAGCTTTATTATTTATTCGATAAATGGTCTGGAAACCTGAAAGAGTCCAATGTTCTAATTCAACCAGATTGACACAAGGACTTGATTCAAAAATGAATAACCGGCCCGAATTACAAAAAAACACTGCACTTATCAAATTTATTTGGCGATGTCTGAAATATTAAATCGTTCATCATTTAAATTTAAAGATATTTAAGATATAGACCTGACTATGAAAAAAACTTAATTTTCAGAGCGTTTAAGAGATCAATTTAATTCATTCATTACAATTACATTGAGAGAAGCTGAGATTTTAAACCTTATTTATAAATATCTGTTAAAATAATTATAAACAATCAAGTTGAAATTTTATGTTATATTTTGATAATTATTATTTCTATTTTTGTTACTCAATTCTTTAATTTTAACCTATATCTTAAAACTAAACTTCTTGCATAATTGTAGCGCGGAGAACAAATTATTCGGCCGTGAAACGATATGGGTTCCAAAAATTAACATACAAATCGCTCCATCGCTATACGTGAGAACGAGTGAGTGACGATCGCACTTAAATTTTATGAACTTTCCTCGCTGCTCTCACGCCGAGTCAGCTGGTGCGCGAGGACGACAAGTTGGTCTTGACGAAAATTATATACGTCGCTAATGGAGTCACCGCAATAAAATAAATAAAGCGCCGGTAAATTAGGTGCGATCAAGTGCGGAGAGAGTTTTGTTCTGATCAGAAAAATTATTGCGTCAAAGGTCGGCCGCCGACTTCAAAAGTGCCGCCGGAACAGGTGTCTGATCTGAATAAATTACATCGGGGGCGGCCGAAGCTATTTTGACAGGGGCCGTCAGCACATCCACCTCATTTGCATTTGCAGCGGCAGCCACTTTGATTCGCCGATGATTAAGCAGATTTTCACCCTTGACAGGCAATGATGGAGAGAGCGAAATTTGCAATTTATTGACGACTTCATTTCTGCTCCTGTATACAGCTTTCAATTTGTAGGCAGAGGATATGAATAAATTTTCTTAATTAAGTTTTTATGACGAGATGTCAATGAGAATAAAAATTACCAGGACCCTGCAAAAACGGTCCTAAAATTTAATCAAACAATGATTATATTATTTGAAACAAATTAACAAATTTCGTTATTGAAAAATATTTATTTTGGAGTGAAAATTTGGTTTCAGACGCTTTTCCACTCATTTAAAATTTAAATATCATTCGATTAGAAAGTTCAACCTCAAAAAACAAAGATGAAGCAAATTTCCACACAATAAGGAAAACATTCTCTCTTATTATATAATCTGGGCAAAAAGTTCCCTCAAGTTAATAAAGTTAACATTTACAATCACAATTTTGCTCTCTTGTTTTTGAGAAAATTTCAATGTTTCTCTCTTTTTGCTTTAAAGAACTGCAGCCGCTGGCAGAGAAAGACGGAGAAGAAAAGCCAAAGCAAATCTTCCCGTGACAGCAAAAGACGGAGGGCTTTTTGTGCTTCAAGTGAAAAACACAAAACATTGAAAAACAAGATAGGGCGGCTGGTAAATTGTTGTTTTCAAGGAAGAGCGCGACACGATGATATTTATACGCGAACTTTATTTTGTTTGCCACCTTTTAATTGAGTTTCTGTCTATTAACGATTGAAATATAGTTTTAAAACATTTTTTACTTATGACATTTTAAATAAAGACTAATCTTCAGCTGTTACGGAAAATCCCTGAAACTTGTCGAAAATTGTGCTCGCCACTGCCGGTCGTTTACAACGGCACCCTAGCTCGACTCGCGACGCCTCAATCGCTTCTAATTAATTTAATTTGCCCGGCCATTAATCAACTCTCGGGCCGGCTCTCTTTTATTGCTTTGACGAGCCGAGCGAAAACGATCTCGGGCCAGCGATTTTTCCCCTCTAGCGACCGAGTTTGAGTGCGTCTGTTTGGGCCACTCTAGTTTTCCTCCAGCGCCCTTCATTAGAGAGTGCGATGATTGATTATTTGGCGAAATTTTTCGATACTGGCGACTTTAAAAAAAGCTGCCGCTCCTGATATTGCAAAACATCAGAGCAACGTTCATCAATCTCTCCTGACTAAACATTGCATTAATTGATTTTTATAAAAAAAAAATCCCAATACTATTTTTCATCTTCTGTTAAATTTTTTAATTTTGATGTACAAAATATTGATCATAATTGTTGACTTACTATTGCTTGTGTTTTGATGACAGAAAAATTAAGAGTGATTTTAAGTTTTAGCAAAATTTTTGCTAGTGGTGGTGCCGTTTTGTGCAACAATTTCTTTTTTCCAAATAAATGTTTTCAACAATCTGTATGTAAACAATGTGATGTAATAATTTGGACGAATAAACAATAATAATAATAATAATTGTTAAAAATTAAAAAAATTTCGACCAGGAACATTATTTTATTGTGACTTTACTCTATGGTTACTCCTCAAATAATGGCATTACCGAGCCTTTTGATTCTACAACACTGCAATAATTAACGCAACCAGCGTAGCCATAAATCTTGCAAGTTTATTTGATTTCTTTTATTAATATTCTTTTTTTATCCAAGTACGAAGAATTTATTGATAATCTGATCAATAGCATTCTGTAGGAAACTCGCAGATGAAGTATCTGTCGTAAGAACAATTCTGGTCGTACAAGTTTGCGGCCTCGTCGGTTCGAATTTGAATGCAGTCCTCGGACTTTCCGGCATTGTGAGCCCACAAGTAGCTGTTCAGCGTCAAATTGGCCCCGTCCTTCCAACGGTAGTCCAACTGACGGCCACTCGCGCGGTTTTTCGCAGACAACCACCAACTTGCATGGACTAAATCGACAGTTAAAATAATAATTTTTCTTATTCAAATTTGAAACTTTACATTCGATTGTCTGCGCTTTTTCGTGCACAACGTCTAAATCTTCTTGGCTGTTCAAAGTGGCCAAATGCAGGCCCATCTTTGTGCAACTCTCCTCAGCCAAGCTCCAGTTTTTCTGTCCAGAAAAATATGGCTTTCGATAAAAGTCAAGTACAATAATTTTTCATACGCACGTTGCTTGGTTTGGAGAAAAAGTACTTTTTCCCATTGGAAAGTGCAATCACGTTTGCCGAACCTTTCAAAAACCACATTTATTCAAAATTAAGTATGAAATAATTATGAGATATGAGGATGAATTTTAATCTTTGGTCACGGAGATCACTGCCCTGTTGTGGCCAGTAAATGATTAGATGAAAAAGCTGAAGAGTAAGTTATTATCTACATTATTTCCTAAAATATTAATATCATCATTGGAAATTTACAGCGATTTAATTGTTCAACATTAACATTAAATCGATAATCAAATTCCGGATCTGATATTTTTCTATTACTTGAGAAATTTTACAAAGCGATGCCACGTTTCGCATAGCAAAATTAAAAAAAGTATTGATTGAATGGTTTTCAGACTTAAGTGTATTTTTAGGTTGTAAACGTTAAAGATTTTCTATCTATTACTAACATGTTAAGTTTAATTAAAATTAATTAAATTAAGAAAACACTGACATATTATGCTTAGAAAACAGAATTATTGTGGCAATCGATAGTTTACAAATTAATAATTTGATCTCAAATTATCCAAGTTTTATCAACAGAACATTAATTTTTGGTTAACTTACGAGGCAGATCGCACTTATCCGGGAGCACGAACTTCACAAACTAGAATAAAGTTAAGATCAGCGATTGTATTTTTTACATTTCAAGCTTCTCTTTAGACCTTGCTGAAAAGGCTGGTTTGCTCTTCTGCTTGGGCAAAGTAAAGAACGCTTAGCAGACAGAGCAGCAACCAAAAACGGTCCATCTTCTTTGAAGCTCAAATGAATCTAAACAACTTTCAGCAGATGCTGAATCAAACCAGTATCTGATATACGCGACCTTGCCCTCAAAACGTAGTAATTTTCTGATAAGGAACTGCATAAAAAAATTATAAAAAAAATAGTTATAAAAATATGGTTTCTTATTAAATATTTATATACATCCTATCCACAAATTTTGTGGATAGGATGTATATAAATATATGATTCTGCATAAGTTGAGATTTTGTGTAGGAAGAAAATCATTTTTACATTTTTTTTCCAATTTTTTTTCGCCCATAAACTGCCTAATCTAGTTCATCCCAAATAATTTAAACGTTTTAATATTTTATTCACTGTTGCATTGCCTCAAGTAAAGAGAAAATAGAACACTTGAAACAATTTAACAAATTATTAAGTACCGTTTTTCCCAAATAAAGTAAACAGTGGAAAAAAATGACAACATTTAAGTCTAAATTCACCATTTCTTTTTTATTTCTTTTAAATTTTGCATGAGTATTCTGATATGATCAGATCAATTAAAGAAGTCGACTACATAAATCTTAGTAGCATTCGGCGGGCACCTCGCAGACGAAGAATTGGGGGCGAGTGCAGTCGCTGGTGCGCAGTTTCGAGTCCACCCTGATCCAAAGGTCGACGCAGCCGCGACTCAGGTCGGCGCCTTCGCCCCACAACGGACTGTTTTCCTCAAGTTTGGTTCCGTCCTCCCAACGGTAGTCGAACGCCTCACCCGGCTCGGCAAAGTTTCTCGCCCCATAGAACCACCAATGCTCTAAAAAAGCGCGATTGAATTCAAAATTTGAGATTTTGTTGAAGGGTTTTTTTGCCACCGTCGTAATAATCTGCCCTCTTGTGCAGCGCGTCCAGATCGGCCTGGTTCTTCGGGTGAGCCAGGTGCAGACCAAATTCCTTGCAACCTGCGATCGCGAGGTCAAAGGTCAACTGGAGAGAAATAACAGTGAGAGAAATCAATCAGATTTGGTTTAAATTAAAATTTAATAATACTCACTACATACCAACGGGAGAAAAAGTACTTTTTGCCGTTGGCTAGCGTTTCCAAATTTATGGTTCCTACAAAATTCATAAATATTTTAACTAATTTTAATTATTCCTTAATAATAATATGAGCAAAACTACATTTTTTTTACTGTTTTCAATATTAATGTAATAATTTGGTATTTTTGTCAACAGATCGTTCCAAAAATCTTTTGTTAAATTATGCTTTTCAAACCTTGGATTTATTTCTAATTTTGAATTAAAAATATAAAATATTGTAATTGTTTAAAAAGTTATTTATAAATTATTAAAGGAAAACTTACTATTCACAGCGGCACAGTGAGGTGGAGACTAGAATATAGGAATTTCAAATTTTGGTGTGTTTATTAAAGATTGTTTACATATGACGTTGATGTTGGAAAGATAAGGAAAAGATTAATGAAAATGAGAAAAAATTGCGATTTAAATACTGAAAAAAACTTCAAGATAAAATTTTGGGTGTTCATGGACATAAAAATTTATCATATCCTAACATTACTCTTATGGAAAAAAAGCTAGAACCTCCTTGAATATTAATAAGGAGTCCTTAAATTATGACAAGTATTTTTGATTTAAATTTAAAAAGTACCTCTTTAGTTTGGTTGGCCAGGGTGCCGACTTGGGCCACCTATAGAAGGACCAAATTTTTTTAAGTTGTCATTTTAAAAGAGAGTTTCAATAAAATGTAACAAATTTCAAAGAAAAAATTTAAAATTTCAATTGATTGAAAATAAATCTATTAAAAAATTAATTTTCATTGAATAACAAATACTTTTAATCACTCATTATTTAGTTTTGCTATTTAAGAATATATTTTAAGCATACCTGAGTAGTTTGGTTGGTCAGGGGGTCGGCCTGGGCCACCTGGAGAACGGCGACGAGGCCCAACAGCAGCCAGATTAAACGAGCCATCACAGTCTCTTCTTGGTCTCTTCACTTTGACTCTGAACTTGCGATGGCCTACGCGCCTCTTATATAAAGCCCGATCCGAATTTTGTGACAAAACCAGTATCAATCATCAACGGCTGTTTTGCGAGTCCGCTGGTAGGTCAAGGCCAGAGTTGAACACCCTTTGCCTTATTTGAACCGAAATGTGAAAATAACAAACTGATATGCACACATTGGTTTATTTTTATCTTTTCTAAATAAGCCAAAAATAGTCTGTTTTGTAATCATAAATTAACTTAGATTCAATTTAATTGCAAAAATTAATTACTTTAACAAAGCTAATTCTCAATAAAGCACCACAAATATATTAAATTTTCTAATTTTAAGGAATAATACATTAATTATTTTGCATAATACGAAAAAAAAATAATCTCCTGACTAAAATGACTTTAAAAATGTCCTGTATTTTATTTTTGTGTGAAAGGAAAAGAAGCGAGGCTAATAACCGCTCCGGTGCAAAGTTGGCAACGGACATGACAGGGTCCAATTTGGCGCCGCCAAAATGACAAATCTTTCTTTCTTTGGGCTCTCGTCATTTTTCACTTGGGACGACTCGTGCAAAATTGATGCTGTGAAATACGCGCAGGAGCACCACGAGTACATATGTATATGTAATGTTCTCCGCGCTGGGTAATGAGCACGTCGAGCAGAGAAGAAGGTTTCCGCGGTCGGAGCAACCGAGCACCTGCCAATACCACTCGCTCTTTAGCCAAAACGAGGCTGCAAAGTCTGAATAATGCTCAAGACGCGTCAATGGAAGGCAAAACTTTTACGCAGTTCAAAATCCGTGTCCAAGTTTTCATACGATTAAAAACTTCTCAATTTTTAAATGATTTTGTAAGCATTCTTTGAGAAGTTGAAAGAAAAAAAAATCATTGAAGCTCTAGTGTTATTTGAAATTAAAAAAAGGGATATAAAATTGTTACTTTTGCTAGAAATTATGGATTTATATTTGGAAAAAGTAAAAACTAATCTGTGGAAATTAGAATTACTTAATTCTAAATTTTAACTTTTTTATAAAACTGGTACAGAAATATAAGAATCCAAGTTAAAGCCATTTCTTCGTAGCTTATAAATAAAATTGAAATTTAATGAGAAGAAATTATTAATATCTCTAATGAAACAAATTATTGATCGTTTCGTTTATTTGGTTATGTAATTATTTGTTATTGAATTTACAGGGAAATTCAAAGTTTCCGGGTCGATGGTGGGTTGCGAAATTTGGCCGCAGCTTTTCCTGTTCCACGACCAAATTAGCCCCCAGGGCGCATGGATGAGGTTTTTGCAGAAGTCCCAGAGGAGCGGGGCTTGAGCGGGGCGGCCAAGAGGCGGCGAACGAAACCGGTGCTGCTCTCTCGTGCAAACAAACGCAACGCTGAGCTTGGAGAACAGATCGCGGGGTGGATCAACGACCTCGCTTGCTTACACCGTTCCTGTTTTTGCCCAACTCGTTTAGAAATGAATTTTGAGAAGGACAAATGAGTTTTCACTGAAACTGAGAGAGGGAAAAAAATAACAGATTTTATATTTACATTATATATAAGAAAATTATTCCACAGTGACCACAAATTGCTTTTAGTGTCCCTAAATTCGAATATTTTGTTGAAAATTTGAATAATTAAATTGACTTTAGCGACTATGCGTTTATCTTTTTATAATAAAATTAGACATAACAAGTTTTATTATTAATTAATTATATATTGCAATTTCTAATTCTTTATAAACTTTAATTTATTTTATTTATTAAATTTCTATTTTTAATTATTTAAGATTTAATTTTCAATAGTGTAAATTTGTTCAAATAAGAGTTAAAAAAATAAAAATAAAATATAAAAAGTTGATTAGAATGAAAGGTATAAAATGAAATAAATCTAAAAGTTTTGCTTAGCACATTTTTGACATATTTTATCAATAATAAAATACAATTTTAAATTATCAAGATAGTATAAAGTTTTTTTTAATTTGAATTAAACTTACAAAAAAATATTTTGCTGAATTAGGGGAATTTTTTGTGTGAAAATTTTGTTGTTCCTTTGCCAAAATAAAAATGAATACTCTCGTCTTTCAGCAAACAATGTCCTTTTTAATTAAATTTTTAACACGTATATTTCGCAGGGCCGTGGCTGCGCTGGCTAGATTAGTGCCACTTAATTAGCAAAGTTGCGCCAGCCAGGCCGAGATTAAAAGTGGGGCTGCATATGTGGCCAGGGGCAGCTCGGCCGGGTTGGCCGAGCGTCAACAAAGAGAACTTTTCTCCCTCTCACTCGGAGTTATTTATTTTGCACAGGCGGATGGATATTTATGGTGTGCTGGATTTGGCCAGATATGCAGAGCGACTAACAAAACAGACTCGGCGGCCTAATTCAATTTGAATTAATTAAGGCGAAAAGTCTCCTGGGCTCTCTCAGACGGTTCGAGTCTCCCGATCCCGAGAGTTGCTGTGCGCGAATTTATTATCACCGATTCCACACCAGGGTTCGCTGCTCACTCGCTAGGAGGAAAAGTCGGCCGGGGAGTGGAAATGGTCACAAAAGTCAGTTGATTTGAAAAGGGTCTCTTCACCAACAGACCCAGTAACTTCTTTTATAGCTTGATACACAATCAGCACACAATCGATCTCAATCTTTTTTACTCCTTAAAACATCATTTAAGCAAAAATCAGGTTCTGTATGATGGAATGAATCAATGAAAGAGAAAGAATATTTTAAGAAGATAATCATGATGATGAAAAAACCCATTATTTTTGTATTCAATTTTATTGAAATAAATTTATTAATAAAATTATACATAATTATTTCTTAATTTTAGTTCAAGATTCAGCCGCAATATTGCGCCAATTTATTAAATATATTTTACGCTTACTTTTGGTGGGTTTTATTTAAAATTAATTATTTAAATCATAACATTATTGAAATTTTTTTATAAATTTTATAAAATAGAAGTTTAAACCATAATTTAATTTTTCCAATATAAATTTTAAGAAATTATTTATTTCAAATTTTTAAGTATTCTTCAGTATGTGGATTTTGTGCATATTGGAGATTTGCATAAATGTAGAATTCCAATCATTAATAAATACATAAAACTAAAACAAATCCACTTGAATTTTGTGTAATTTTGATAAATTTTTTCCTTTTTTCCGCAATTCCTGTTCATGATCCTTGAAATCCTTGCAAAAAGTGGTGGAATTTTGTTTGAGGATTCGTTGTGTTGTTGGTCGTAACAATATTATTATTCATCGTGCAGTCCCCGTGGGTCGGCACTAATCTTGCTCGGCCTGCAACACGCATGTTTTTGGTTCGAGAGGCGTGTAGTGGTCCGTGTAGGATTTGCCGGGCGAGTGCGTTTGTAATTTGCTCTGTAAATGCGCCGCTCGCCAACAGCAATTTGCATTTACATTCCGACGCGAGAATTAATTACACTCAAGACTCGAAATTGACTCTATTTGTTGTCGCTGGGAGGAAAATTCGGGAAATATTTACACGCAAATCTCGCTGGTTCTGCTTTAAAGCACTCTCTCGTTTTTCATCCCTTTAATATTTCACTGACAAGATGAGCGAGCAGTTTCCGGACTGCAGATTAGTGCGGAAGAAAGATTTCCAACTTGGACCGCCGCCAATTGCACGAGGCAATTTTCCAGCTCCGAGAACTGTCTAATGCTTACAAAATAATTTCACCGCGGTTTACTTTGTTGCAAATGCAATCTGCAATTATTGCAATACTTGAACTGAAAGAACTTTGAATTACACTTTTATATACACAAATGAGGAAGAGCGAGAAGACGAGATATTTTTCAAAAGAAGATAAAGAATTTGCTCTGAAAATTTATAATTTTATTTTCTTATGTAAACTGGTAAGTATTTAAAAGCTTAAAAAAATGCATTTATTTAAATTCTCTCTCAAAATAATGGAAATTTTAAATAAATAAAATTAAAATTTAAAATTTAAACTCGTTTCAATAAGTAAAATTTCTAAACAAGTCTAATTGGGAAAATTTCTTTTCTATAATTTAATTTAATGTTGTAACAACACTGAATAAATTATACAAAATCATAATTCAAAATTTACAGATCATTTACCCGCTCTCCGGTTGCCGCAGCCAACTTTCTTTCAGCAAAAAACTCTCTTTCTCCCTGCGCAATAAATTCAATTTAAACTCTCTTTTTATCTTGCTTGCGTCGGTGCGAAGGAAACCTCGGCAGGATCTTGCCGCGAAAATTATATCCTGCTACTCAGAAAAGCGCTAATGGGAAAATATTTCCTGCTGCGAAGTGAAAAGCTTTCGCGTCGCCAGGGACACAAGAAACACCCGCTCCGGGCACAAAACTAGTGTAAACAATATCGCGGTGATGGCGCGACGATTCAATTTCTGTAATGGAAAGCAAATACACGCGCCGCGCAGATGACAGACAACATCAAGCTGCGATCACACGATCAATATCTGTCCTCTCGCCAAAACTTCCGTGTTCCGCTGATACACGTTCCTTTGCTGCGACACAGTTTGGAGAGGAAAACTATATATTTGGGCCATACGCATGAGATTATAGAGGATGTCTTTAGTTTATAAAAAGAGTCTGTAAAAGTAAACAGCATTTTTGCTGGGCTTTATAATTCTCATTTAATTTTAATAAATACCGTTTTGTCCAATAATTTCCCTTTGATTGAAATAAATTTCACATAGAAAATGTAAACAAATAAAGCGATAGCAGTTTTTTCTTATCATGTTTAGAGTTTGCAATTTCTGTAACTAGATTTTAAATCAACGAAATACAAAATATTCAGTGAAAATTACTCATAATTTGACAGGTTCTGACGTGAGAAACAAATGTAGTTTCAACTTAAAAATTGAATATCGCAAGTTCTATTTGAGATTCAGAAATGCTGCTAGAACAAAATAAAATTCTTTTTATCTCCTCTTAAACTCTGAGGGCTCAGATAGTTCCAAAGTCAAAGGTTTAGAGCAGGTTTAGAGGACATTTTCTAGAGGTTATAAAATACGCCACCATCTAAATGCTGCTGAAAATGTTTCTACAAG